AGATCATACCAACCACCCAAATGGCTAGGCAGCTGATATGATAAAAGAAAAAATTAATGGCATATGAGGATTGTTTTTGGTACATACAAACACTTTGAATAAGCTATTTTAATCAAAATGCTCTTTTCACGATATTTTGACATTACAGTACTGTAAGTAATCTCTCCATTAGCAGGAATCCCTCAAACCCGGAACTCTCCGATACCCGAAATTTAAATTATTTCGGAAAATCGTTCCTGAAGCCAGAAGTCTCCAGAAAATTATGGCTTTGGGAACGATTTTCCGAGGGGCACATTTTCAGGAAAATTCTGAGAAAATTTTCCAGATACCCGGAAAATTCCGGGATGGGGGGAGTTTTTTCCGGGTTTGAGAGATGAAAATCAGGTGCATTTTCTGGAAATTCCGAGAAAATTTTCCGGTACCCGGAAAATGATGGAAAATTCCAGGGATGGGGGATATTTTTCCGGGTTTGAGAGATGATGTAATGGGCAATTTCTGGAATGTCTGAGAAAATTTTTCCGTTACCAGGAAATCTCTCATTCCGGAAGTGCTTTGCACCAATTGTTCTGGCTAACGGAGATATCACTGTAGTATTACATTCTACAGATATTCCTCGTTTAGCATTAATTCACTTAACATTAGTTCGGTTTGGTGATTAAAAAAAATTCACATTTCTCACTTAATGTTAGGTCAGAATTTGGTTTAGCAATAGCTTGACTTACTAGTAAGAGGAAAAACTGGTGATGAAGTGGTCTGTGAAATGGCATGTTGCCATTGTTACATGTAATTAAACAATAAAAGTCATGCAACAAAGCGTGTTGGCACTCGTGCCTTCATTGTTAGCGGTGGCAATTGAACAGTGATTACATAAGAGCATCAAGATCGTATAACTGATGTGAATGTGTAAATCGATGTAGGATTATTAAAGTTATTCACGATTTTATATTGAAAAAACTCTCTACTGACCAGAGAAATAGGCTGGGATGTATACAATGACAAAATTATATGACAAGATTTATTCAGAAAATTTTTAATGAGTTTCATGGCTGTGATTGACCATCCACAGTGACAACAGTGACCACGGTGGAGGCTGAAAATAAATTGAAGTGAAAAAAAATTGGGGGCAAGCAATCAGGCACCAGTGCCTGGAAGTAACCAAGATATATTATTGGTGCAACAAAGAAGGTTTTTTTTTTGGATGTGTGTTTTCTCAAGGACTGTAATTGTGCTTATGATCCACCATTCACAGTGAGATACAGTGTATATAGTGATAGTACTTATAGATAAATCCATTGATGAGATTTGGAAAAGAGAACATAGTAGTAAAAAAAAAAAAACTAAACAAGCCGAACTGTCACAAACAGCATTATTGCTGCCCCAAAGAAAGTATTTTTTCTGTGCTTTCTAAAGGACTGATTGTCCATATAATTCACCATTCATAGTGAGATACAGTGCACATAGTGATAGTATGTAGAGATACTAACAACTTATCGAGGAGAACTGGAAAAAGCAAACAGAAAACAAGTCAAACTGTCATGGACAGCAGCACTGGACAGACGAGGGTGCCAGCAAGTTCATGAATGGCAGGACAGTTAAATGATTTTCTAAATAATATTAGTCTGCCACAAGGGCATGATCACTCACACATCTTAGTTCATTTAGATTACAATTAGTAGGTGTGATTATAAAGGAAGTCATCCCAGCGAAGAGTAAATTTCTTTGGCAGAATAAAGTGGAAGATTATGAAGGTGGCATCCCCCCCTCCCCCCAACACACCAGACACGAGACCTACGGTGGGAGCACTGCTGTGTTGTGAGGCTTTAAAAGGCCCTTGACAGAAAGGCACAAAAGCAATTATCATAGTAAAAATAAGTACAGGTATTATTACTATTAAACCATCTGTAGAATTACGTATAACACATCGTAAATTGGGTTAAGACTAAGAAGAATCTTACAGAGTCTGGACATCCCCCACTATCTCCCCTCAACCCCCATTCCCTCAGGATTGACAACGGCCACTGCTGTCAAGCACTACGTGTCCCACAGGTGTAAGTACATAAAAGGAAGAAGACAGTTTATGACAGGACATGAAAAAGGCATGGGGAACCAGAGACCAAAACCCCAGGGTCACCAAGTAGCTTGCTGACGTGCAATTGCTGCAAAGGGATGACGTCTAGGAGAAGATTGTGTTGGTAAGACAGCATCAGCGTTTAGGATGTTGCAGAATGCGATAAAGCAAAAAGGCTGTTGCTGGTACTGCCCTGACTGCATAACCAAAGTAAAGGAGGCTATTGCAGATCATCATAAGGGAATGAAAAACTTAAAGAAGACAATAGAGATCCTCGCTAAGACTTGAGGAAGTAGCTGACAGAACGGAGGGAGGAGTAGTGAAGAAATTTTATGCTCAGGCTTTAGCAGGGTCACAGAAGTTGACGGAGAGTAATGCAGAATCTGAACAGATCCTTCAGCAGCTAGGGATTCTGCAGAAGTGTATTGAATGGCAACTAGTAGACCTACTGATAGGGGAGAGGAGGAACAATGGAAATGTTTTGAGTTCAAGAACAGCATAATAGTGTGTGTAGTCCCTCAGAGCCAGTCGGAGGAAGTTGAGAGTAGGAAAACACATGATAAGTTGCAGTTTGAGAGTATTTGTACAGAGGCTCTTAAAATGTCAGCCCCCCTCAGGATGTGAGGACGCTGGGACAAAAGCAGGAGGACAAGTCTCTTCCCTTAAGGATCACACTAGTGAGTGAGGATAAGAAATGGGAAGTTATTCGGCAGGCAAAGAAATTAGCAAGGAGTGAAGTATTTAGGAATATATTCATACACCCAGATTGCACGGTAATGCAGAGGGAACAGCACAAAAAACGCCTATGGTACTTGAAGCAGAGGAGGGAGGATTCTATGAGAAACGGGGATGGACATACATGGGTTATGTACAAGGGAATGGTAGTGGGAGCAAGAGCGCCAACACAGAAGCAGGGGACAGCGAGACACCTTCCACCCAGGAGGAGGTGAGTGCATGTAAACAATGTCATCTTTGACCACACCCCACAAAATACAATGTATTTAGCAAATGCTGTAGCTGCTGAGAATGTAAGGAGGCCGGAGTCATTACCAAGATCAGAGACATTACCAAGAACAAATTCCTGCTTGAAAGTCATGTCCAGTACACTAATACTGACACGTTTTTTGACAAGAGAGAGAAGGTGTTGTAGAACTGTTGTGCAAGAACAGGGGAATGTGAGTTCAATATAGATCGATATAACTCATTTATGAACCTCTCTCAAACAACTTGCAAGAGGGGTGTGGATATCTATGCTAAGTAAGACCTTAGAGCCAGCCAGGTGAGGGTACAGGGGATGATATTTTTAAAGAATAAAAGCGGTGTAAAATTAAGTTAAAGGGGAGAGACTTACTTATTGTCGGGTGTGTCTAGAGATCTCCAAACTGTAGCTTATTAAACTAGAGTTGTTGGGGAAAAAAGGATCATCTGTCATTACCGTAACCTTTGTGAAGTAGCTACCATATGAGTATTTTTTAGATGTTATGCTATGTGAACATATGCTATTGTGTCTGTGTGTAAAATGAGTGTAGGGTAAAGCATGTACTGTAGATCATTTTCCTAAAAAGTATTTAATCAGTATTAACTTGACAGGACAAAATGTGTGAAGTTATTGATGGACTTTTTTGTTTTAAGTTATATTTACATGTACTGTAATTATTTCTTGTAATAGGTGGCTAAAAGGATGAAAAGATGCCAGTCATTTCATGGTTTGGTACACTTGTTCAGCACCATTATACTGTATTGTAGTAACATTAACAAATAAAAATATTAACACTGAAAATAATTTTCAGTAATGCCATATGTTTTTAAATATTATTCATGGATGAATTGTAAGTCAAAAGCAAGAATTACAATGAAGTAATCAGCTCTGTTGGAAATTGATAATTTTAGTCATAAATTGCCTTTCACAAATTTGTATAAAGCAGTGCATATCCCATTTCCCACCACAGGACATTAAAGGTGGCTGTTCTACAGCAAATGCAGACTGGCCATACTTTCAAATACTTGATCAAGTAGTTCCTCTCATGAGAAAAGAAAAGATTGAAAAAATACCACACTCAAGTTTAGACCACAGAGATCTTGATGCACCTCACGACAGTTTACCCAGCCCTCTAACCACTCCTATTGTTCCTGAACAAGATCCTTTGTCAGAGGCCTCTGATCCCTTATCAGTGACCTCTGTAAATACTGTTATGGTGTCAGCCCAGTCATCCACTGTAGGAGATGGTAAATGCAAGATTGAAGCTGTCGATGGTGAGCCACCTCGGAAAAGGGGAAGGTATGGAACCTTTATCTATACAATACGATACCGTACTCCTGTTCTAGTTTAACTCTCTCTGCTATGTTGCCCATTGTAATGGGGGGTTACTTACTAGGGGTCCCATGAGCTCTTTTAGCTGAGTTCCTGGCACCTTCAAGTGTTGTTTTGTTAATATTTATCAAATTGATCCCCATTCCTTCCTTCTCTTCCACAGCCAATCTCAAATTAGGGGTTCATGTTGAGGTTGCTCCCCCTCGCTAGAAGGAATAAGGAGGAGGTACTTAGTTAGATTTAATCACTGCTCTAGACAATCTTTCACTTTTTTGGAGGAACTAAAGCAGCTTGTTCTCTCTTAGAAGCCTATGACAGAGAAGGGAGTGGTATCATTGCATTCAAAGGGATTAACAGATTTCACCTTACTGGCATCCACAGAGTGAAAGGGTTTAAAGAGTGTTTTCAGGATCAATTCTCCATTTCTGCATCTGTTGATATACAGGTACATCTAACATTATGTTACCTAATTACCTCAAAATCTACACTTGTATTTAACAGAGGTCGACGTGCAGCTCAACGTGCCAGAGATAGATGGTGGGGTGCTGTAGAAGATGATGACATGGGCTCAGATTCAACAGGGATAGCTGTGAGAGGAGAACTTACAACTCAGCAAGGAACACCAAAATCCTCCACAGTTGATAACTTGGATCCTTCTCAAATGGAAGTCCAAACATTTCACATGCTAGAATCATGTTCTTCAGCACTGGCAGAAATCCGTGAGACACTTAGATTACACACTGAGCGACAAGAGACCTTGATGCAGGTCAGTTTTCTTGATTCAGGGAAGTTTGGGAATTTTCTGAAAGAATCAGAGTTGTTTAGAATGTATTTTTACTTGAATGACATAATGACATTAGATCTCTCTTATTATTCACCTCCTCTAAGAAGTATCTGTATCCATTGATCCATCCCCACACACAAATAAAAGATAACAAAATAAACATGTTGCAATATGTTCATAAATCCAGGTTAAGATATATATATATATATATATATATATATATATATATATATATATATATATATATATATATATATATATATATATATATATATATATATATATATATATATATATATATATATACACACACACAGTGGGGTATGCTATAACGAACGTAATTGGTTCCAGAACCTCGTTCGTTATAGCATTCGTTCATTATAGGATTAATCCGTTCCAGGCCCCCAAATACAACCGCTTAACACTAAAAAAATTCTGTGGAAAATGTAAAAAATATGGTACTTTATCTTACCTTAGTGTTATTCAGCATGCAGGTACCCCTAAACACTGGCACATCACTATCACTTCCACTGGGAGTCTTGGCTTTAAGGTCCTCAAACAATTGTTTAGCCTTCTCACAAATTATAGCTTCACTAATGTTACCACTTGCCATTTCTTTCTCCTTTATCCACACTAAGAGTAAATTTTCCATCTCTTCAATCACATTACACTTTGCTTTGCTAAGTCTAAAGATTCCCTTAGCCACTTGCACAGTTTTTAACTCCTCTTTATTCTTCAAAATCGTACATATAGTCGATTTAGCCATCCCATATTCATACTAAGTTTCGCAATGCTTCTTCCATTCTCACGTTTCTTTACAATTTCTTTCTTAGTTTCAAGGGTTATTAGCTTTCTCACTCGCTTTGGACGACTCATTGTTACAATTGTATACTTGTATAACAAAATAGTTATACAAATAACGCGAATTTCCACATCAAAAGACGAAATTTCAACAATAACAGTGGTGCACTGGCTACACAATGAGACAAAGATGGCGCCTGACGCTCTTGTTGTGGGTCGCGGCACAACAATATTCATGCACCAGGCGAAATAGTCCCGTATTCATCCGCGTTCGTTGTAGGAGTTGCGTTCGTTATAGCATTCTCAATTTTATAGGTAAAACCGTTCGTTATAGGAATATTCGTAGTAGGATCCGTTCGTTATATCATACCCCACTGTGTGTGTGTATATATATATATATATATATATATATATATATATATATATATATATATATATATATATATATATATATATATATATACACAGCCCGACCCCCAAACTCCACTTTTTGACGACAAATAACTATGTTGTAGTAAAAATTCTATCTTAACTTTATGGTGGCATGAAAAACAAGTAATATAGAAGAGGTTAGGTTAGGAAAGATAAAGGTTAACATAGGAAAAATAAAGAATAGGTTAAAAAACGAAAATTTTTGAGGAACACTTACGGTAGTAGAAGAGATGGGTCGGCATACGGGGATGGAGGCTGGTTCCGAGGCAGAGGGCAGATTACTGCCCCTCAGGTGAATCACCATTACTAGGTGAATCACCATTACTAGGTGAATCAATATCACTGTCACTTACAGTTGTCATGGCTTCCCTGACAAATCCCTCAAAATCAACTTCACTATCACTATCACTGGCTTGGGCTGGCTGTGGTGGGTTGCGGTAAGGAAAGGTTTCTCTCTGGGGGTGGTGGTCCGGCGGAAGCCATTTTACGGAACAATGGATGCGCGTTAACCCGGCGTGGCCTTGAGGGATGAAACTGCCGCGGCTAGGTCAAGCGTCGTCTCTCCTCCCTCCCTCCCTCCCCGGGGTAGTCACGTCATAATACTTTAAGCCAATTACAGCTAGCAGCAGAGGGGGGTAGGGCTGCATGGCCAATCACAGTCCGAGACGTCATATGACGTCAGTGATAACGCAACAAAGACACACACTGCGCAACCTTACCGCGCCGCTTGCCCAAGCGGAGGGAGGAGGAGGGAGAGGCAGGCAGGCAGGCGGGCGGGCGGGTGGCGCGTGGGCAAAATCTAAAAATAGCATCCGAGCCGGACACTCACCGCGTATGTGGAAAAAACCCGCGTTAAGTGAAAGTTCAGCTTTGGCAAGGCACCGCGTATATGCGAAAACGCGTTAGGCGGGGTAAAACTATATATATATATATATATATATATATATATATATATATATATATATATATATATATATATATATATATATATATATATATATATATATATATATATATATATATATCTATATATATATCTATATATATATATAT